CATTAAAAAACAAAAACAAAAGGAACACAAATAAATGACTTAACACTCCAACTCAAGACTCTGGAAAGGCAAGAACAAATGGAACCCAACCCTAGCAGAAGAGAAGAAATAACAAAAATCAGAGCAGAAATCAATGAAATAGAAACAAAGAAAACAATACAAAGAATCAATGAATTGAAGAGCTTGTTCTTGGAAGAGATAAACAAGATAGACAGACCCTTAGTCCAGGTAACCAAAAAAATAAAGAGCAAATCCAGATCAATAAAATCAGAGATGAAAGGGAAAACATCACAACAGACACAAATCCAGAACATTATAAGGGAATACTTTAAAAACCTATACTCTATTAAATTTGAAAACCTACAAGAAATGAATGGATATCTAAAAGCATAGGAATCACTAAAGTTAAACCAAGAAGAGATCAACAGTTTAAACAGACCCATAACATATAAGGAAATCGAAACATATAAAGTAATACAAAACCTCCCAACTAAAAAAAAAAGCCCAGGCCTAGATGGATTCACAGCAGAATTTTACCAGACACTTAAAGAAGACCTCCAACCAATACTACTTAAACTATTCAAAATGATAGAAACAGAGGGAGAACCCCAAAATTCTTTCTATGAAGCTAGCACCACTCTAATGCCAAAATAAGATAAAGACACAACCAAAAAAGAAAACTATAGACCCATATCCTTAATGAACATAGATGCAAAATTTCTCAACGAAATACTTGCAAACCACATACAGATGTATATCAAAAAGATCATTCACCGTGACCAAGTAGGCTTTATTCCAGAGATACAAGGATAGTTCACTATACACAATAGTGACAATAGACATCATAAATCATCTAAATAGATTCAAAGACAAAAACCACATTGTTATCTCACTAGATTCAGAAAGAGCTTTTGATAAAATTCAGAATGCATTCATGATAAAAGTTCTAAAGGGAACTGGACTGAAGGGAACACACCTCAGCATATTTAAGTCTGCATACAGCAAACTCACAGCCAACATCATTCTAGATAGAAAAAAAACATTCCCATTAAAATCCAGAACCAGACAAGGATGTCCTCTAGCTCCACTCTTTGAAACTCTTGTTAGAGAAATAAGAAAAGAGAAGGAAATTAAAGGGGTACTAATTGGAAAAGAAGAGGTCAAATTATCCCTTTTGGCAGATGATATGATACCATACCTAAGAGATCTCAAAACTTTCACCAGAAAACTCCTAGAACTGATCAATACTTTCAGTAAAGTGGCAGGTTACAAAATTAATCTACAAAACCCAGTAACCTTTCTATATACCATTAACAAGCAATTGGAGAAAGAGTACATGGAAACCCTCCCATTCACAATAGCCTCAAAAATAAAAATAAAATAAAATAATAAAATAAACTGACCAAAGATATCAAAGATCCCTGCAAAGATATTTATGTCTTTAAAGAAAGAGATTGAGGAAGTCACCAGAAGATGGAAGGACCTCCCATGCTCATGGATTAGAAAAATTAATATTGTGAAAATGACTATCCTATGAAAAGCAATCTATAGCAATATATAGATTCAATGAATCCCAATAAAAATCTCCATACTCCACAGAA